CACTGCTAAAGCAAGCTAGCTGTGTGCAACAACTTTATTAACGAAAAAAAAAATACATCCTAGCTAAACAAATATACATCATCCTACTCTAAAAAATGAAATATATAGACAGACGTCCATTGTCTCTGGCTGGGCGACGTCACTGCTTGGTCTTGTAGATAATCCTGTACCACATTTCTTCAACACAACTGCCTCCGTCGCTTCTCCGTCGTTAACGCACAACAACCCTTGGTCAACCCGAAAGCCGTTACTACTTGAACTGCGCACAGGACCGTGGAATTCGGTTGTCCCAGCTGATCTGTAATTGGCCCTACGTCAGTCACCATGAGAGACGTATATTGGGGTTCTTCACAGCTATAGGGACTACAAGTTTCGAGACCTTCATATAGTTGCCAACAGTAGAAATCCCATCCTACTCTTCTTCCTCCCTGTTGCTCCAGCACGCCTCCTTCAGAGAGCTACTTCTGACAGCCACATCAAGTCTGCATGACACAGGAAGAATCACTCAACAGAGCTACCTGCTTGCAGGAGGGGCGGCCAGTCAAGGCAAACGATCCTGTCTTGCAATTACGCTCCATGCAATGATGCTGACACCAGCAAGGGACACTAGGTATCGTGTCTCAGCTTGTCTTATCTTCTTCTTTCTTCTCTCTTCTTTCTTCTTTCTTCTTTCTTCTTCCTTCTTTCTTCTTTCTTCTTTCTTCTCTCTTCCTCCTCCCATGGGTCTTTGACAAGCGACCTGGGGTCCATTGGGGTCCATCCTGGGTAGACCGATGTTGGTGGGACAGACTGGAGTCGTTGTTGCTCCTCTTCCATCTTTACTGGGTCGTCTGGGGTCGTCTGCAGAACGACCTGGGGTCCACTGGGGGTCCGTCCGTCTTGGGGTCCCCTGGGGTCCGTCCGTCTTGGGGTCCTCTGGGTAGACCAATGTTGACTGACCGAGAGGGCTGTATCTCGGGGGTCCCCTGGGGTGATGGTGGTGGTGGTGGCCCTGACATCCAGGTAGGGGGCTGGTCGTCGTGGTGGTGAGGAACAGCCGTGAGTGTGGTATAAGGCAGCCGTCTCCCTCTTCTGTATGTGCGTCTCTCCTCTCTTCTGGCTCCCACCTGTGAAATGAACAGAAAGGCGACAATACGTGTTCCCAAGATGTTTGTGTGACCCTGTCGTTTGTATAGGGTTACACAGTCCTATCATACCGCTCTCCTCCTGGCAACAACTACACTTCAATTTTTAATAATTCAATTAACTCTGAATGATATTGACTTGGTGGAACATAAAACAGTAACAGAGTAAAGTTAGAGAAGAGAGAATAAGGTCATCACTACTTTTAACTTGTCACAAAAAAAAATCAACACTAATAGACAAAACACTAGCCTAAACTTAACTGTACCGTTCCTAATCTTAAGTACATAATTAACCATTACTCCCACCCTTAACCTACAGCCACCTACGTGACCCAGAGTGTTTCCCTAGCTTCTCCGCCGGTAAACAACTCCCAAACTGTTGTCACCCCTGTGACCAGACTATCTAACGTCGAGCGTCCCCAACGTGAAGTCTACTGACACACTAGTCCACACTAGCATGCTGTACAATACCAGTACACCTCGGGTTATTGCGTTCAAATGGAGTAAAACAGTCGATCGCAATAATCTGAGCAGAACCACACTTAAACTATTTAAAAACTACACCTGCCACTCCCCACTGACCTGGAGACCAGCGGTGGCTGGGTGTCCCCCTGGGACATGCGAGGTCACCTGTCACACTCAGCTGACCTGCACTACCCACCAACCGCTAGGTTCCCAAATCGCCAAATCTTATCACTAACATAAATCACTACACACGCAAGTTCTTGTGAACATTCCCTGAACTTCACAAAACTCACAAACTCACTAAACCACAACACCAGAGAATCACTATCTCCTAGCCTGAAAAAAAACTCGCTAAATCGCGAAAGTAAAACACCTGTCAAGATCTCCCTGATAGCGCCTGAGCGGCAAAAGACACGTGGGACTGAACAATGTTAAAAGAACACCAACTACCTACAACATTGTTCAACACCGCTGCCAACATTGTAACGGGGGGTGGGGGAAATAGCTCTATCTTGTCCATTATTCCACCCCCCAGTTAACTAACGAGGCCGGGGGAAACAGCTCTCTCTAGTCCGTTATCCCGTCCCCAGTTAGCTAACTATTCTAGAGCACCCTCCAGAGTTCCTAAGGCAACCTCTCTCGTTCAACACCTTGTAACCTAGGTATTTGACTACCTAGGGGCTAAGACTACAAGGCGCCGTAACTGGATCGGCTACCCGAAACTCTAGAGAGAACTCTAGAATACAGAATCATTGCCACAAACGTATAAGAGAAAACGAAAGGAAAGAAATGAATAGTGAAGTAATTAGTGAGGGTTTGGGGTGAGGGGGAGAGAGGTGGGAGGAGCGAGGATGGTCATTAGTTGAAAGTGAGAGTTGAGAGAGGGGTGGAGGGAGAGGTGTAGATAGGTAGAAGGAGAAGAGTAGATAGTAGAAGTAGAAGAGTAGATAGTAGAAGACGAAATGCTGCCACCATCCATTCATGATCATTACATACAAGACAAGGAATGGAACTTGTCTGTATCAAAATATTCTCAAAAGATGTTATTACCATGTATCAACTCCAAACATGTACTCATTAATATCATGAAACCAGTAACCACAGAGGCTTTCTCACCTCAACTCAAATCTCTAGGGAACAAAGTTAAACACAATTTAAATAATAAATTCATAATTATATTTCCCATGAAGTATCATAATTTAGCAATTCAATTAAAATGTTCCAGTTTAATATGCAAAGTGAGTCATCATCCAAGAATTCGAGAACCCTACAACTTGACTGCCCCTGATCATCACACAACACTTGTAAAACACGACCAAGTCACCTTAATGTTCACTCACCGAGGACTGAGTCTAAGTTGAATAGAGAGGGGGGGGGGGGGTCTGTAGTTGACAGAGACTGTCTCGCCCCTGCCGGCCGACAGCCTCCAGGATAGGGGCGTCGTCTCTGCTCTCGGCGGCTGTGCTGTCTGTTCTGTCTGTTAATGCTTTTCTGGTGGATAGCTCTCCGAGTTTATATTGGGGAACCTAGTAACTAACTCCGCCCACAAGTAGATAGCCTCCGGCACTACCAAGCCACTCCTTAAACGTCGGCATGTTTGAAGGCTACCCGGCTCCAATTAAGAGCTTAGCGGAAGCAAGGTGAAATTCTCATGATCTGACCTCAGGTCACTTGAGGTCATTAACGCTTTGAGGTGTGAGATCTCAGGCAGACAACTGGCGCCTCTCAGATCCTTGTCTGTGACTCGTGTACTCTATATATATTTTAAATAACCTAACCCAAACACTTTTACAGTGTTACATCACCCTTCACAGTGTCTCTCACGCCTCACCCTTCACAGTGTCTCTCACGCCTCACCCTTCACAGTGTCTCTCACGCCTCACCCTTCACAGTGTCTCTCACGCCTCACCCTTCACAGTGTCTCTCACGCCTCACCCTTCACAGTGTCTCTCACGCCTCACCCTTCACAGTGTCTCTCACGCCTCACCCTTCACAGTGTCTCTCACGCCTCACCCTTCACAGTGTCTCTCACGCCTCACCCTTCACAGTGTCTCTCACGCCTCACCCTTCACAGTGTCTCTCACGCCTCACCCTTCACAGTGTCTCTCACGCCTCACCCTTCACAGTGTCTCTCACGCCTCACCCTTCACAGTGTCTCTCACGCCTCACCCTTCACAGTGTCTCTCACGCCTCACCCTTCACAGTGTCTCTCACGCCTCACCCTTCACAGTGTCTCTCACGCCTCACCCTTCACAGTGTCTCTCACGCCTCACCCTTCACAGTGTCTCTCACGCCTCACCCTTCACAGTGTCTCTCACGCCTCACCCTTCACAGTGTCTCTCACGCCTCACCCTTCACAGTGTCTCTCACGCCTCACCCTTCACAGTGTCTCTCACGCCTCACCCTTCACAGTGTCTCTCACGCCTCACCCTTCACAGTGTCTCTCACGCCTCACCCTTCACAGTGTCTCTCACGCCTCACCCTTCACAGTGTCTCTCACGCCTCACCCTTCACAGTGTCTCTCACGCCTCACCCTTCACAGTGTCTCTCACGCCTCACCCTTCACAGTGTCTCTCACGCCTCACCCTTCACAGTGCCTCTCACGCCTCACCCTTCACAGTGTCTCTCACGCCTCACCCTTCACAGTGTCTCTCACGCCTCACCCTTCACAGTATCTCTCACGCCTCACCCTCCACAGTATCTCTCACGCCTCACCCTTCACAGTATCTCTCACGCCTCACCCTTCATAGTATCTCTCACTATACAAGATGTGGTCAGAGTATCTTGGGTGTGAAGCAGCACACCTGGACCTAACACCCACAAGGTCAGGTTAGGACCAGCACCGTGGAGGTGCAGGTGGCCAACCTGCCTCCTCTCCGTTAGGTCAGGTCCCGCCAATTCAGTACATCAATTTAGTGACGCTGTGGACGCTGGAGAGGACAGACTGACTCACTTGTAGCCTCGACCTCTCTTAATAAACTTGCCGACACAAGTAACGATAAATAATCGATAAGAAACGTATTCCATTTTTTGGGGAATTTGATTGATTTCTTATTGTGCAGAGCTGTAAGAGTCTGCTGGAGCCACAGCTGTAATGACGCCACTGTCAGTGTTGTCAAACGGTCGCCTGAGTTGGCCTGACCTGAGAGCTCGGGCTGACAGTCTGACACAAGGAACAAACACAGTTACCAAATATCCACCAAGTGACAAGCTGTGATACACTTGATATATCATGAGGATATGGTAGAGGGATAAGGGTGTACTCACAGTGTGAAGGGAGGTGAGGGATAAGGGTGTACTCACAGTGTGAAGGGAGGTGAGGGATAAGGGTGTACTCACAGTGTGAAGGGAGGTGAGGGATAAGGGTGTACTCACAGTGTGAAGGGAGGTGAGGGATAAGGGTGTACTCACCGCCAGCTGTACGATGAGGGCAGCCAACACTATCGTCGTAGTCACCATCGTGTCTGAAATTATAACAAATACGGTTATAAGTCCCAGCCGACACGTAGGGTGACAGCACCCACCCAGCCGACACGTAGGGTGACAGTACCCACCCAGCCGACACGTAGGGTGACAGTACCCACCCAGCCGACACGTAGGGTGACAGTACCCACCCAGCCGACACGTAGGGTGACAGTACCCACCCAGCCGACACGTAGGGTGACAGTACCCACCCAGCCGACACAAAGGGTGACACCCGTCCAACCTGTCTTCTTACAAATTGCGTCTGAATTTAGGCGTTTGCCCGTATGGCCGAAAACTGACGTAATTTCAAAATAAATAAAAACTTAAATAAATTTCAGATTTTTATTTCCAAAAAGGTACGTTAAGGGTCCTCTGGTAGGTTAGGAGGGCAGGAAATTCTCTTACAGTTTCAAAACGTCCTGGAAAAACGTTAATTGAAAGTGTCCTCTCCTAACAGACTAAGCCAGAGGACCCAAACAGAAAACGGGACAGTACGTCACTTTCGTAAGCCGATTTCATTTCAAATTGCGTCAGTTTTTGGCCATAGCGCGCATACGAGCGAAAAGCGACGTTATTGTTTAGAGGACGGGATGACACCCACCCAGCCGACAAAATAACCAAGCAAACACTCTCACTTCATCAAGTGGACTTGAAGAATCATTATCAGTAGTAAATCACTTATGGTACAACGCATTCCATGTCTTGACCCCCCCCCCCCCCCCCACGTACAGGGCTCCATGTGTTGACCCTCCGTACAGGGTTCGAGCATTTCCCGACATTTTTGCTGCATTATTTTCATTTCTTGATTTGCATTTACATCTCCACTTATTTCCTCTTGGCCTACCCCTCTCTCAGTTTAAACGTTAAACACTGTTGGTGTCGGAGTATTCTGACGGGTAGTTGGTCAACAAGCTCCAGGTACCACTATGACAGTTTAGGTAGCTGTAAGACGGGTAATGACAGCATGGAGACTGGTGGACTGACCAGGACACGTGTACCGGATAAGCCAGCCTTGTCCAGCCGATCTGACGGGTGGTAGAGGCCCTCTCCCACCCGCGGCGGAGTGTAGGTGGGGGCCGCCCTCAACACCCACACCCTGGGAGTGTAGGTGGGGCCGCCCTCAACACCCACACCCTGGGAGTGTAGGTGGGGGCCGCCCTCAACACCCACACCCTGGGAGTGTAGGTGGGGGCCGCCCTCAACACCCACACCCTGGGAGTGTAGGTGGGGCCGCCCTCAACACCCACACCCTGGGAGTGTAGGTGGGGGCCGCCCTCAACACCCACACCCTGGGAGTGTAGGTGGAGGCCGCCCTCAACACCCACACCCTGGGAGTGTAGGTGGGGGCCGCCCTCAACACCCACACCCTGGGAGTGTAGGTGGAGGCCGCCCTCAACACCCACACCCTGGGGGTAGGTGTAGGTGGGGGCCGCCCTCAACACCCACACCCTGGGAGTGTAGGTGGGGGCCGCCCTCAACACCCACACCCTGGGAGTGTAGGTGGGGGCCACCCTCAACACCCACACCCTGGGAGTGTAGGTGGGGGCCGCCCTCAACACCCACACCCTGGGAGTGTAGGTGGGGGCCACCCTCAACACCCACACCCTGGGAGTGTAGGTGGGGGCCGCCCTCAACACCCACACCCTGGGGGTGTAGTTGAGGCAGACTCGGGCCATACACTCTCCCTCCCTCTCTCTCTCTGTCCCTAATAACTATCCTAATATAAAGAAAAAAACAAAATTCGATGATACATGACGTTGCAGATGGACAGGATTCGCGAAATCTCTCCCCCCAAAAAATCGTGAATGAAAATACAGGAAGAATTTTGAAATTCCACTGCGGCAGCGGCAGCCATATCCGGCCCGCGGTGAAGGGAGGATGACCAGGCAGTTATGTAAGCACAAAAGCAGTTCAGGATACACCATGTAAGGCAGGTGGAGGAGCGGGATTGCCCCGATCCTCTTAAAAAAACCACCACACGCCACAATCGGTGTTAAATATTTTAAATTCTTAACAACAACAAAAGACATTTAAAAAGCAAAGTTCGATTTTTTGTTACTTGGTTATGATTTTGCTGTAGGCCTATGCGGATTTTTTTTTTTTGCGTCTTTGATAAAATGTTAAACCATTAGTAGAGGTGAGTGATACTACGTGTTCCATTAGTGGGGAGGAGAGCAGCTCGGCCTCACGTCAGGAAACTGTCGCGTCCTATCCTAACTTACCAGACCCCGTCCTCCTAAGGTTTCACAACGTCGAGAAAACGGTTAGTTTAAAGTGTTCTCTTCTAACCTTCCAGACTAAGCCAGAGGACCCAAAAGAGAAAACGGGAGAGTACGTCACTTTCACGAGCCGCTTCCATTTTCTATTACGAACATTTTTGCCCTTTGGTAACGAATGCGTCAAAATGCGATCTGCTATAAGGATGCCAGGATGCCAGGAGTGAGGAGTCAGAGAGAGAGAGAGAGAGAGAGAGAGTCAGAGGGAGGGCGACAACATGACACAGCCATTGATCAAGACAACTGTTGCTGTGATCTATACAAGCGTATACAATGAATTAGAGACCACAAATAATGGTATAAGGCTTACAGTAATGTGGCCAGAGACCGGGGGCCGCACACCACGGTCTCTCACCCTCGCCCCACACCAGTAATGACACAGTCCACCCTGTGAATGCTAAGAATGCATGGTAATCTGTGCATGACTAATACGACCACCAAACAAAACATTTGTCAGCAGTATTGAGATAAGACATTCTCGGGAAGATGAGTCGGAGAGAGACCAAGTAGTTCAGTGTAGAACTGAAGGTCAGGGAAGTACAGGTAAAGGAGTGTGTGTCTGCTGTCTTCTGCCCTGATGTTGACGAACTGGTAATAAAGCGGGTATAAACATGTCGGATACTCGAGCCCAAGACGGTGTGTTGTTCCCAAGTTATCCAGGAACTGAGGCAGGAAGCAGAAGCCTTGGGAGGGTGTGACCAGTGGCTCATGCGCCAGTCATATAGGATTCCCGTCGCGATCAAGAAAAACTGGCCGCCCTATCCGTCTCTGATCGCAAAAACAAGGGGTGAGGCTAATCATTTCTTTTATCATCTTCGGAAAAAAAAAACTTGTCTGTCTTCTGGCTTACTATCTAACGCTGGCAGCATTCGCTACCGACTATGTGTACATAGGTGACAGCAACATTGGTGATAGAATTACAATTTTCTGCGCTGGACACGCGATTTTAACTGAAACATTTTCCTCTGCTTCATTAATGTCAAAATCAAAAGTTGTTTATATGTTCTGTGGCTGGTTATCACTGTCGACGACGGATTCAACCCGAGTAATGAACACCACGACTAACACAAACTGTAGCAGGAGGAACTATTGCTTCAGCGCTCGGAGAGTAGCCAGAGGCAGTAGTGTCCATGAAACTCGACACTTCAATGCTAATTAATGTTGTATCCACGGCCGGGGTACGGCTGCCAGCCTCGATGACGGAGACCCACGTCACAAGCGACTACACGAGATGCTGGACTCCTTTGGCATCCGGTTGGTCAGATTTCATTCCTGGCGTAGAACTCGTCCTCACAGGCGCCACCAGGATAAAGGACGGCCAGTCATCGACCAATGTTGATGCTTATTCTGCTACCTGACTGAGTTGACCACTGGAGGAGTGTTATTGGTCACTCTGGTGTCAGAGCCGGACACTAGAGCAGTGTTACGGGTCGTTGTGATACCGGGCTCTATACGGAATAGGGACGAACTCCGCCTTGTTGTGGTACTTAGCTAGTGATCGGTTATGGGTCGTTGTGGTATGGAATGTAATCGCTGTCGTATGTAAATAACGATCCTGATCATCTGACGACGACCACTAGTGTTCTAGTTAGTCTCCCCGATCATCTCAGGTCACGACCAGCTGGTGCTGTGTTGCTAGCTGGTGCTGTGTTGCCAGGTGGTGCTGTGTTGCCAGGTGGTGCTGTGTTGCCAGGTGGTGCTGTGTTGCCAGGTGGTGCTGTGTTGCCAGGTGGTGCTGTGTTGCCAGGTGGTGCTGTGTTGCCAGGTGGTGCTGTGTTGCCAGGTGGTGCTGTGTTGCCAGGTGGTACTGTGTTGCCAGCTGGTGCTGTGTTGCCAGGTGGTGCTGTGTTGCCAGGTGGTACTGTGTTGCCAGCTGGTGCTGTGTTGCCAGCTGGTACTGTGTTGCCAGCTGGTGCTGTGTTGCCAGCTGGTGCTGTGTTGCCAGCTGGTGCTGTGTTGCCAGCTGGTGCTGTGTTGCCAGCTGGTGCTGTGTTGCCAGCTGGTGCTGTGTTGCCAGCTGGTGCTGTGTTGCCAGCTGGTGCTGTGTTGCCAGCTGGTGCTGTGTTGCCAGCTGGTGCTGTGTTGTCAGCTGGTGCTGTATTGCCAGCTGGTACTGTGTTGCCAGGTGGTGCTGTGTTGCCAGGTGGTGCTGTGTTGCCAGGTGGTGCTGTGTTGCCAGGTGGTGCTGTGTTGCCAGGTGGTGCTGTGTTGCCAGGTGGTGCTGTGTTGCCAGCTGGTGCTGTGTTGCCAGCTGGTACTGTGTTGCCAGCTGGTGCTGTGTTGCCAGCTGGTGCTGTGTTGCCAGCTGGTGCTGTGTTGCCAGCTGGTGCTGTGTTGCCAGCTGGTGCTGTGTTACCAGCTGGTGTTCAGGGAGCAAGCAGTGGTGCAACACACACACTTGAGGGCGGCAGCAACACACACACTTGAGGGCGGCAGCAACACACACACTTGAGGGCGGCAGCAACACACACACTTGAGGGCGGCAACAACACACACACTTGAGGGCGGCAGCAACACACACACTTGAGGGCGGCAGCAACACACACACTTGAGGGCGGCAGCAACACACACACTTGAGGGCGGCAGCAACACACACACTTGAGGGCGGCAGCAACACACACACTTGAGGGCGGCAGCAACACACACTTGAGGGCGGCAGCAACACACACTTGAGGGCGGCAGCAACACACACTTGAGGGCGGCAGCAACACCAGCATCCTCTC